CACCGCACCGCCTCTCCCCACCCCTCTCATATCTTGAGACTCAGTAAATCGTCCTGTAGCTGGCGTGGGGATTTCTGTGGCAACTATTTTGCTGGAAGGTGCCCACGCTTCTTTACTTACACGTCTTGAACACAAGATTTAAAGGTAGTTATTGGGAAAATAATCAGGAAACCAGAAGAACCGTCTTACGGGGATAATCCTGTTCTCACAGAGCAGCAGACGGATGTGGCGATCACATGCCGTCATGGTCAGGACGAAGGATCACTCCGGAAGGATATAAAGATTACGTTTTGTGCGTGATGTGATGTTGTGTAGTGTGGTCGATATTTACCAGTGTTTCGGTGGAGCTTGCTATCGCCTTCTTCAAGTTTATCTGTTGCCCTGAAGATGAGGCAGGAGTGTCCTCCGAAACGTTGGTAAATATCTTCCAGTTTACACGATGTCAAGTCAGAGGAAATTGTAACGTTCGTGGTCCCAGTCGAGAGGACATCAAATATCACACAGAATAACTGGCATAATAACAATAACAAGTAAAGTAAGTAAAGGTATCCCCGTAACAGGCCGTGGAGGCCCTTAGGGTTATGAGATGTTGAGGTTCGCACATTTTCTAGACAGCCGGCTCATAGATGGGGGTGAGGTTGTCAGGCCTACGCGCCGGCCGCCCTTTACCCCCAAGAATATTCCTGGCACTCATTTCTGTTAGAGGCTGAGTCGACCCCCAGGGCCATAGTTTGGCTGGAAGGATTAGGTCAATGGAAAGAAATCCAGTGACCTCATCGGGACTTGAACCCGCGACCTTCCGGCTTGTAGCATAGTGCCTCAACCAACTACGCTACCGCATGCCCCGGAATAATAATAATCCTAGCGGTTTGGTGTGGCAGTAACGCTTTACACTGGGGCACTGATTGTCCTGACTGAGTTTCTTTATGGTTTTCCTCGGTCTCTCCTGGAAAATGCCGGAGGAGTGCCTCCGTTAGATCATGACCGTTTCCTTCCAAATCCTTTTCAGTTCATTCATCTGTGATTCTACCATTCGACGATAGTCTCGATATTGCGATGCTGAAAACATCGTTAAATAACTCACGAAATGACAGTAATATATTATTATTATTATTATTATTATTATTCATATATGCACGTACTTCGGGAGCAGTTTATAAATTGTACACCAATCCTCCATCCAATGGGTAACGGGGGCTCTTTCCCAGGGGGAAAAGCGGCCGGGCCGTGAAGCTGATCACTCACCTCCAACTAATGCCGAGGTCAAAAAAGTGTGGATCTATACATCCACTCCCCCATACGCCTTAATGGCGTAGTGCATAACTGGCTAAGCACAGGGACAGATTTACCTTTTACAGCCAAGATATAATAGTGAGACATACTTAACCGCTCTAAGTTAAGTTTAACTAAATACGTGGGTCATTTCATAAATAATGCACAGGTTGGCAACACTGCGGATTAGATGACGCAACAGCAGTGAGCCTCACGTCAGTTACAGTTCAGGGCTTGAGAAAGAAGCGCGTTATTTTGTTTCATTTGTAATATACACTGTTCTTAAATAACGTGAGTTAGAAATGGAGCCTGCACGGTTCTCGGGTATTGTGACTGTTGAAGATCAAAGGTCGTACATTAAGATCGAAACTTTACGTGGAAAAAACCCGACAGAAATCCACTGTGCTTTCAGTGAAGTTTGTGGCGAGTTAACAGTGGACCGTAGTACAGTTTCTCGCTGGGCTAGTCGTTTGCGTTGCGATCGTGTGAGCATAAACGACGATCCAAGGTCAGGAAGGCCGAAAATATCAACAGATGAACGAAACGTGAAACTTGTGTCAGATGCTCTTGAAGAAGATCGTCGTGCGACATGTGAGGACCTTTCTGAAACCAACGTCAATATTGCGTATTCTGACAGATGATTTAAAGAAGAGAAAGATTTCTGCGCGATGGGTCCCTCACTGCTTGACTGCTGAGCAGAAGCAGAAACGCCTCAACATTGCAGCGTTGCTGAAACAAAGATTCGACGTTGAAGGTCAAGAATTCTTGTATCGACTTGTCGAGACTTTGAACCGGAGCTGAAATCACAGTCCAACGAGTGGAGGGGTCCATCTTCCCCACGATCAAAAATATTTCGACGATCTCAATCAAAGGTCAAACAATGATGATCTTTGCTTATGATCACCAAGGAATCATCATGACAGAGAGAGTTCCGTGCGGGAAGAGTGTCACAGCGGTTTATTATCGTGACTTTATGCAAAATCTGCGCAGAAAAATGCACAAAAACCGACCTCAGTTGCTCGAGGCTGGGCCGATCATTCTCCATGACGACGCTCGCGCGCACATCGGGAATGTCATAACAAAAAATGCTGCGCCAGTGCGGTTGGGAGGTGTTGCCTCATGCTCCCTACAGCCCGGACATGAGTCCACCAGACTTCGACTTATTCCCAAAGTTGAAACAACCTATGCGAGGCCGTCGTTTTCCCTCTCTGGAAGAGCTTTCTGCTGCAGTACCCGAGGCTTCGACAGATAAACAAAGATGGTGTCCTGGATGGAATAGTAAAGCTTCCCACACATTGGTACTCGGTCATTGAGAAGCAGGGGGACTATATTGAAGGACTGTAAAGAGATATTAAAAAAAAAAAAAAATAAACGTGGACGTAAACAAAAAATTGTGTGCATTATTTCTGAAATGACTATGTAGTATCAAGAATTTACCTCATGCCTCAGGGAAAACACACTTGGTCTCCATTACAAAGGCCAAGTGGTTGTTATTGTTGTTTAGGGAGGTATTGGTTGCTTGAAGAGTTGTGTCTTCTGGAATATAATGCCATGTAATCCGTTCTTCGATACTGAAGATGGAAACGACATATACCTCCGAAACGTCGGTTGACTTTTCAACGAACTAAACAGCGTTATATTTCACCTCAGCTGTGAGAACCTCAAATCCTAATCGTTGTATATTTTTAGAATCATATGGGCAGAATGCAGAGTTTTGGTATATATAATTACCACTGTGCTGTGAGGGGTTAAATGTCTGACGTACCGCTTTTTCTTCAGGCTTAGCTCTGGAAAAGAATGGTATCGCAAGTGAATTCACGTAAAAAAAGAAAGCCGGGCCCCGTGATCCCACACTACAGTGCCGAGCCTCTGTCTGTTGGCTGTCCCGACACAGGAATGAAAGAAGAATGCTCTTTGCTCTGTAATTATATAACATAAAGGCCGTGGTCTTATTAAGTTAACTGTAGGAGCAGCGGCGTCAGTAGAGCGTCGGCGAGCTCCCGAGTCGGGAGTGTGAAGTTCTGTCACTCTAATGGCTTACATGTGAGCTCCGTCTGCAAACTTCATTATCTGAAGGAGCTCCAGGGAGACCCCCTTGTTCGTCTTCACGATAGTAGTCGAAACCAAGACCACACACGAGGAACTTCCAGATTGTTTTCACAGCGAACCTTGCTCATGTCTAATGCATCAGGTTTCTTACTTGTGGCTGCATCAGAACGATACAAGAAGTTTTGTGAAGAGTAAATGGTCCTTAAAATTATCTATAAGAAGTTCTAGGAAGAAGAAGAAGAAGAAGTGGGGTGATAATGAGAAGCACTACATTTGGGGGGGGTAATAAACTATATCTCCGATTTTTAAGGTTCCCAGGTAGTGCCCGCTTGTCCTTCTGGTATAGGTAGAGCATATAATCGGATTTCTTTTTATTTTATGACGCTGCAAGAGGTGCATTATAGTAAAATTTTTAGCTAACGTTGGGAGGCTATATTAGAGCGAAATTTTGACGTTACCGATGTGAGGTCTGCATGTGAAGCAAGCAGTGCAACGTGGAATTTGGATACCAACTCAGCATTTGCTCTAGGACCGAGGAAAACCACGGAAATCCTGAGTTCTGTGAAGAATTAATCTCCTGCTTTCGTTTGATACAACACGGACGGCATAGCAAACGAACACATTATTGGGGGGGGGACACAGACAGCAGGGCGCTGTCATAAGCTTTCTAACAAAATAATAGCGAGACGGAAAAACAAGAAACGATCTCACAGAAGGATACACAGACAGCAAGCCTTATTTTTGTTTTCAAAATAAGGAAAGTCGGCTAATAAACACGATATCAGTCATCAGTTTTGGCTTGTATTTTACACTTTAAACGAATCCTCACGCGTGAAACTGAAGCGTGTCATCGTGCTTAATATCGACAGCACTATCAACAGAAAACAAGACCCGCTAGCACTTATGGGAACAGAAGCTTGTGAATGACGCCCGTGCGAAGTCGACACGCCTCGTTATTCGTTGCGTCATGTGACGCAGATAATTATTCATCAGGCGCACGCTATGCCTGTCGAGAATATGGGCGGTAGTGTTGGGGCGATCCGCTAGCGACAGAAACACATCTCTTGTCTTCCTTCACCGTTGTTCGGTGTATTATTTTTCTCTCCCCTCGAGACCAATTGATTTCTTCTCCTGCAGAGCCACTTACTTTCGGTTTCATGCGTACTCTTGTAGCTTCCGAGGGATGGCAGCACTCATCGTAAAGGGAAGATTACAGGCCCATATTTCTGTATTTCCTGTCATGAAGATATATGTTACCGAATTGTTTTTAAGTTCAGCTGCTTGAAACTTCGTTATATCAGAGAAATGTTTTCAAGTTTCTTCCCATATGCGGAGAAATTTTACGTAATTATTGTTTAGGTTCCGTTGTCAAACCGTGGTCTCCAACACTGTTAAAGCATATCGCAGTATTTAAGGAAAGTAATGTTCAGTGTGTATCAGTTGCGGATTCTGTAGAACTTGTACTTCTGATATTGGGTCTTTCCACCGCGTGGATTTGCACAGTGTTGCCGATATTTCGGAGTTACATGCAGCCTCAAACGTTTCTGAAGACTGAGTTAGTTTTTACCTCGGAAACATCGTCAGCGGTATCCATAGCCACGCGGTGCAGAGACCCAAGACCAACAGTTGGAGATTTATGAAGCGAACTTTACTTACGTGTTACTTTGTTCTGTTGGCAGACCTGCTACGAGATGGAACGCTATCTGAAGGACGAGCCGAAGCTACAGTCGTACAAGAAGTTGCCCAATGACCTGAATACACCGTGGAACCTGTTCACGGCGCCAGGTCCAGCTGCTGCCATGGCAGTAGCAGCGGCCGCATCCTGGGCCAAGGTAGATCCACTGACCCTGGACGAGCTGAACTTGAGCGAGAGGCACCTGGACACCTTGAGCATGAGTTCCGCCAGCTCTGCGTGCAGCGGCGTGTCGTGGGACAGTTCCTTGAGCTGTGCCGTGCTCGTCAAGAAGGAACCCGTTGAAGACGATGAGGAGGATGAGGAGGAAGACTGCTACGAGGATACTATTAGCAGTAACAGTGGCAGCCGGAGGTATCAAGGTACTGCTAGCGGTACTGGCAGTAACAATAGTGGCAAACCAGTGGAGTTAAGACTCTTAGCTAGGACATCTTCATCGGCACAATCTATTCTTCCAACTCTGACACCCCCATCTAGCCCAGAGTCAGGTCAGGGCCACAGTAACAGTAGCAGCTCTTCAAGCAGTGGCAGTGTTGCTAGCAGCGCGGGCGATGTGTCAGTAGGTCAGGGACTGTTGCGAGTCGCCAACGGGGCCCCTCGCAGTGCCATAGTAAGGATGACTGCCAGAAGCTCTCCCGGTGTGACTCGGCTTATCTCGGTGACCCAAAATCCGTTTACCCCCGCACCTCGCAACAACAGCAACAGCAGTAGCAGTCAGATACAAGTGGGATCTCCGCCGTCACCACCCGGCCCGAACCCAGCGGGTACTCCCAGCGGTGGGACGACAGCCACAAACACCGGGAACAACAGGCATCACTCCAGGCACGATCATTCGCCTGATTCCAAGAGGAGGATACACAAATGTCTGTTTCCGGGCTGCAAGAAGGTGTACACGAAAAGCTCGCACCTCAAGGCACACCAGAGGACACACACAGGTAACACTTTGCTTCTCTCCTTCAGTTTTAAGGTGTTAACTTTTCCCTGTGCTTAATTAAGTAAGCGCCATGCTTAGGGGAAGTGCAGCTATAGCTAAACCCTTCTTGACCTTGGCACTACATAGAAGTGAGTGGTCAGCTTCACGTCCCGACTCCTTTACCCTCCTTAACACCTTTGATGGGTGGGCCCCACAGCCGGTCTGGACGCTGTGGAGAAGAGAATAATCTCTTGCATTTGACTGGAATCGAATCCCGGTCTCCCAGCCCCTAGTTTACTGACCTATTTTAAAATGTTAGGGGAAGGGTACAAACCTAGCAAAGCATGGAAACCCACCACGAGGTCATGAAGGCTGTCTAGCACGGAGGGAACGAGCACAGGGATTGGTTGGGTGACCACACAATTTGAGTCTGCAAGAATTGTTGATCTCTTGTTTGGCTTACCATTCAACCTTGAAGATGGAGGCGTTATATTCCTCCGAAACCTCGTCTCTTCTCCGAAGTACACAACGTTGACAACGCCGGTCATGTCCCATTGTCTAGTTGAAGCGACTTCACAAGATGACTATTATTTCTCGAGACTGACATTGAAAAGTGAGAAGGAGCCCCCTTGGGAGCCCGGCGGTGGGTCTGACATCAGCCAATAATTTCCCGTAGTCAGGCCGCGGTGTGTCCTCTGTCCCCATCGGCTTGTAAACCGAGGTCTGCAGTTCTATTTGTTACAGTTTCCTGCTGCACTGAGGCTCTCCGCTGTTATTTATGAACCGGGGGTGGGGGTGGGAGTGGGGGCGCGGGCGCTGTACTATTTAGAAGTTTGGACTTTAGAGTAATTAACTCGGTTTTGTTTTTATAAAGCTACGCTTAGCAAGAGTCTGTAGATTTGTGTGGGTGTGAAACTTGGGCTCTCGTGATAAGAACAGAGCAATGGTAACGCTCACGACTCGTGTTCAGGAGGTGCCTCGTTCGAATCTCTTCCAGGATGTCTGCTGTTCTGACTGAGGGTTTTCCAGCGTCTCCTTACATAAGCGCCGGAGTAATACCTCGATGATGCTGCGATCTTCGAAATCCTTTTCCATTTTCCATCGTACCATTCGAACAGGTTAGTTCAGCGGTAATGCTGACATTAAGGGAGGGACGTAGACTGAGGGNTATATATATTCCTCTTCTCCCCATTCATGCTATATAGTCTATAGTCTATATGCTGTAGTCTATAGAAAGCCAGATGCAGAGAGACCACTAGGAAGACCAAAATATAGGTGGGTGGATAATATTAAAATATATCTTACAAAGATAGGATGAGGTGGTATGGACTGGATTGATGTGACAGGACAGGAACCAGTGGAGGGCTCTTGTGAACACGGTAATGAACCTTCGGGTTCCATAAATGTTGGGAAACCCTTGAGTATCAGCGCGAATGGCGGCTTCTCAAGAAGGTTCAGCTCCATGGAGTTAGTATCAGGTTATATGGCGGCGGTGTGAAGATTAATGAACCTGGAACACATGGTGGAGTGAAACCCCGCTCCGTTATCAGTAGTCCACAGCAATTCCATACGACCTGACTTGGGATGGAACCTGCGCCAACGCGGTGCGATTTTAGATTTGGACGAGTATTAGGGAGGTGTTTGGTTCAAATCTCGACAGGACACCGTCTATCCTGATGGAGGCTTCTCTGGTTAGGCCTGTATCCCTCCGGGCAGATATCTGGACAATACCTGGACTGGACCACTCACATCCTTTGTAGTTCACTGGTCGTCCGGCCTCTTGACGCTGTGTAGCGTAGACTTTGAAAGCGCCGTAAATCAAAACAAAAGAAGTGGGCCCTGTACTATAGTAGCATAGCCATGTCAGCACTCGAAACAGCATCTGCACCAGCAGCCTTAAATACCAGGGATTCGTATCCAGGATAAATTGCAGATAGCCACATTATTAAATGGGGTTCTCCGTCCTGCTACTAGGTCCTACTCCAATTAGTCTAATGGGGCATCCTGCATCGCTGTAAGGCATGAACTTTGCTGCCCCCTTTCTCTCCGTTTCTCATTCTCTACGTCACATACTTTATCTCGCAATTTCAATATATCGTGCCCCCTCCCCCCCCCTTATTTTCTTCCCTTTATACACCAATTTCTGACTTTAAATATAAATTATTTCCACGTGTGTTAGTGACTAAAGACGCGGGTTCGGATCGGCGAGTCGATTTATTGGATATTCAATAGTCGTAACTGCGATTAATTATAACACTTTCAGTATTACCGTAATTATAACACATAAATAAAGTCTTCTATATCTGCTTGCACAAGTCGTTGCTAGGTAACAGATCTCAGCAATGGCTATTCCTCTTGCAAAGATTTTCCTGTCCGTTTCCTGGCAGCTGCTTTTAACACAGGAACTATAATTGTCACATTCCCAATATCACTGCACTACAGCACACATGAAGTCTTCAAATCACACGGTAAGTCCTCACAGGCTGACTTCCTGTACTCTTCTGTACTCCTAGTTCCAGTTCGCTCTGATTTAACTTGCTTCTGAATTCATTTCTCTTATAAGCACTCTGCATAGACCCCTCGGAAAACACCTTCTCTATTGTTGATGACGTCACCGCGTTGCATAGCACGGTCCCATACGCGGAAATTGGTTTACCGAGCCGTTGCCTAGAAACGGATTTCATAACCCCGATGTAGCTCACATACAAAACAGTTTCATCTAGTATACTGTTGCATGTTGGGAAGTGCGTGTATTTACTGAACCGTTTCCTGGAAGTATTTTGATCAAAGGTTGGTTTTTATATAACGATATCTGCTATTACCACAAAATCAGAACCCCTTTTTTAATTAAGATTGGGAAGAGGGAATTTCAAACGACGATCTCCACGCATATAGGGTATGTTTTTATAAAAGGGTTCTGCCCGAATCAGATGACGTCTCGCGTGATGCAGCAAATATCTGTGGGTGCTGTAGACAAAGAATAGCCACTTCTGTATTACCTGACTATGAAATCTGGTTTCACAGGTGGCCAGTTCTGCGTTCAGATCTCTTTCATTCCCTTTGTTACATCTTTCTGGTTTAAAACTTTAGAAAAGAAATGTTTTCCAGTTTTATCTCCCAACTTTCATAATGATCTCCATTCGGTCTCTTTGCTTTATAAATGCCCTGCCCCCTTATTCAGGACTTATAACAGGAAATGTGGGATTAGAGACCCTTTAAATTATGTTTGCATGTTTTCGTGATGATTTCACATCGATATAGCGAGATGCGCCTGTTTGTATATCTCTATGAGAATTCCGTTCTTGTGAAAACAGTATTATTAGAAACAAATCAAACACGAGATATAATTACATCTAGACCTGAGATCGCCAAATTCTTTTAATATTCGTTGCCCCTTCCAAGCATGAAAGAGATAGAGTAGGACTTGTCTGCATCTGTCAGAAGAGCTGCTATATGGCATAAGTACGATGTTTTAAACAGATACTCCCGTAATCATTTGAGGCAGATAAGAACCCAGTCCGTACCTCACAGGAAACACACTACGTCTCCGCTACAAAGCCCAGCCGGTTAATTCGGTTTAGGGAAACAGTCGCTGTTTATTGTGAGAACCATACGGAACACACAAATAATATAGAGATTCGGTCCGTACCTCACAGGAAACACATCACGTCTCCGTTACAGAAACCAACCGGTTATGGAAACAGTCGCTGTTTACTGTGAGAACCATACAAGATAACATGTAAGTATATTATGTGAACAAAATGCAGAGATTTCAGATGTTAAAGCAGGTGGTACATATGGTTACCACTGTACCTTAAAAGTGTTAAGACATTCGAATTAATGAACAAGACGTAATGTTTTTACGTTATAGTCCTCAGTTAATACTATATACATACACAGTGTGTCCAGGTTCTGTTGGGGCTGTCTTCATTGAAAAATACAAAACGTGAATTATTTTCAAAATTTCACTCTTTATTCAAAATGGTCTCCTTCTGAGTCGATACAAGCTGGAATAGATTGAAAAGTTTTGGAAAACAGTCACTGTACTCCTTTTATGGAATTGCATTTAAAACTGCGGTATATTCCCTTTGGATGTCCTGGATGGTGTCGTGACAGTCTCCTTTCATCGACAACTTAACTTTTGGGAACAACCAGAAATCTGCTGGAGCCAAATCTGGCGAATACGGAAGATGATCAAGGACTGTGATCCCTTTTCTGGCCAAAACGTCCGGCACGATCTTCGAGTTGTGGGGTGGGGCATTGTCGTGGAGGAGCGACCAGGAACCTTGCTCTCGATATTCAGGTCGAATTCGAAGAATTCTCGCCCTCGCCCAGAAACGGCTGAGGGCTCCGAGATAATAATCAGAATTCACTGTTTGACCTTCTGGCAGAAATTCCTTGTGAATGATTCCTTTGGAATCGAAGAAGACGGTTAGCAGTGTCTTTACTCCACTCTTTTGCATGGGCACTTTCTTTGGTTTCGGCTGGCTTCATTGGACTCAACCACGCTGCACTCTGCCGCTTTGTGAGAGGCTCATATTGAAAACACAATGTCTCATCACCAGTAACAATCGATTTTGTAAATTTTGTATCACTTTGGGCCGATCGTAACATGTCTTTGCAGTGTTCCACTCTGGCATGTTTTTCATCGCCTGACAACGCGTGCGGTACAAACCGCGCACAGACCTTCCGCTTGCCCAAATCCTCGGTNTGTTCTCTGCTTTGATGCACGTGAAGCGTCTTCAATGTCCTCCCTGCCCTCACGAAATACAGCATACCATCGAAAAATGTTCGAGCGACTCAAACAATCACTACCGTACACGCTTTTCATCATTTCGTACGCTTCTCTGGCTGTTTTGCCTAACTTCATACAACGTTTGATGTTGGCTCTCTGTTCAACCGCCATTTTCCGACGAGCGTCAGAACAGTACTGTTACATTCAAGGTCAGAACACGTGCAGCAATGCTTGCGCTTTGAAATTATAGGCATCCACAGCTGAAACTTCCAGAATCTTAACGCCAC